CGGGCCCCGAGCGCTGTGGCTGCTGCCGCTGCTCCTGCTCTGCCCCGCGCCGTCCCGCGCCAGTCCCGAGCGCTCGGGTGCGCAGCCCCGCAGCCCCAAGCCCGCCCAGGCTCCAGGCGCGGGACGGGGTCCCCGCCGCCCCCAGCTGGGGCTGAGCGCTGCCTTCCCTCTTCCCACCCGCAGGAAGCGCGGCCGAGACCTGCCTGCTGCGCCGGGACCCAGGGCCATGCCAGGACCCCGTCACCCGCTACTTCTACGACAGGCGCAGGCAGCTGTGCCGGCCGTTCCAGTACGGGGGCTGCGGGGGCAACGCCAACAACTTCGCCAGCCTGGAGGCCTGCGAGGAAGCGTGCTGGATGATCGAGGGTAAGTAAGGGCTCCTCCTACGGGCTGCTCTGCACACGCTTTGGGCTGCTCCTTTCTCCAGTCCCTTTTAGCCTGAGTAGTCTCAAGTGGTCAGCCTGTGTCTCAAAAGTGGTAACAGGTCTCCAACCAGTGTCCCAGGCCTTTCACCTGGCCTTTATGGAAATACAGTGCCTGCGGAGGCTCCAGAAAGGTTTTGATTTGGGTTCACCACGAGTCATGGTAAGTGCAAGCAAATAACCTACTAGATGCGATGCGACTGTCTTCTTGTGTTTACCACCAGTTGAAACTTAAGCATTCCTTTTCTGTCCCACAAACACACTCCTTGTTTCTGCCATCTGTTTATTGATCCGAATTCCTTCAGTGGATTTTATTATTGGAAGGTGATTTAGTTCACTATGTAACTTAGCTTTTGTTAGTGCAGGGACATTATACAGATTCAGAATACTGTGTTTTCTTTTGCTTCTCAAAAGTGAATCTAGTCAAGGATATAAACGGGCTTTGCCGCTTAAGGAGCTGAGCCACAAGAAATGGGTATTCACATGAAAAAGCTTTGATTAACTTCACGTGTAGAAATAGAAAACAGCCAACTCCACTGAACGTTAAAGAAGGGTCACAGCAGAGTCAACTCGAGGTGCCGCACCAGATTAATGGGCAACGATTGTTGGGGAATTTACTAATCTAGTAGAAAATATGGGTACTTTTCTCATACTTGTTTCTGAAATTGCAGTAACGTTTTGAGAGAATAAGGATACTTCCAACTAACTTTATTTTATTGCCTTTCTTTTCTTAGAGGTTCCCAAATATTGCAGGTTTGAAGTCAGTAAGGATAAGTGTGGCAGGTCCAGCAAAGAGTATTTCTTCAATCTGAAGACCATGAGATGTGAAAAGTTCCTATCTGGTGGGTGTTCCCAGTATAGAAACCGGTTCCCGGATGAAGCTAGTTGTATGAACTTCTGCGCCTCAAAGAAGAGTAAGGACTATTTTTATGCTATCTCAACTTTGCTTTTCTATTCAGATTTTGGTGTGAAAAAAATAGTTCTGAGTGGAAGGATGAAACTCAAGTGTAGGGTGCTTGCCTAACACGTATAAGGCCCTAAATTAAATCCTCAGTGTTTCAAAAAGAAATCAATGGTTTGATGTGAAATCAGGATGGTTTATGATCTCTAGAATTCACATATAATGTGATATTACTCTTAACTCTATCACCTGGTGAGGGAGTATTTTCTCCCATTTTTCCACGTAAAGTTACAAACTAGAAGTCAATGACATCTCAAATTCTCAAGGCTGCGAAATGACAAGCCATTATTCAAATTTTGTTGCATTTTCTGTTTTTCTTTAAAACTACAGGGTGAGGATCCCCGATCTGAAAATCTAAAATTGGAAATTCTTCAAAATTTGAAAAATTTTCAGCACCAACACACAAAATCTTCAATCAATGGGGAAATGTTTATTGATGAAACTGAGTTGTTCGTATAGTTGTAGAAGATCCAGTAGTTGGACTTACACATGTGGCTTCTCCATTAGTAAAGGGAGAAGAGCTAATTAACACATTTAACATAAAATTATCAACACAAGAAAGTTTACTAAATCATACATGAATTTTTCCTTGAAACTTAGCTCATGGCTTTGTCTGGTTTAGGTAGTAAGGGTTTTCATGTTCAAAAGATAAAAGACATAATTCCAGAAGATATTTAGTCTAGTTTATAAAAATTTAAAATGACCAAAATATAGCATGTAAGTTTACCTACAATTTGAGGTATACCTTCTTAGACGAAGAATGGGTTTTGTATGGGATTAGATTTCTTCACTTACTTCTGCAACCATCATCATTTATTAAATTTGGTATCATAGCATTTCTAATTTTATTTTCTTTTTCATAAAGTGCCATCATTTTGCTACAGTCCAAAAGATGGAGGATTGTGCTTTGCTAATGAGACTCGCTTTTATTTTAATATGAGATACAAAACCTGTGAGGCCTTCACTTACACTGGCTGTGGAGGGAATGACAATAATTTCTCCTACTTGAAGGATTGCCAGAGAGTTTGTGAAAAAGGTAGTTTTCCTTACTTGGTTTTTCAACAAACTTTAAAAATAATTAATAAACAAGACTATATTTAAGGTACCTATTTAACCACAAATTCCCATTTCTAGACTATTTCTACAAAAATAGCACTTATGTACTGATCTGTCTTATCAAATGCTTGTATGGGCTCAATTTAGTGGACAGAAGATAGAACCCTATTGAAAGGTAGCATGTTATGAACTGAGAGTACAGTAAGTAAACTGACTTCATAGTCAGAAAGATAAAAATGAAGCATATTGGAAAGATGATTTAAATTGAGCCTGCAGGCTGGGAACATAAAATATTGATTGCTATTTTGTTAACTTTAGCCTACAAGATGGGAAAAAGGAAGAAACAAATACCTCCCTTTACAATTATAAGGCCGAAAAATTGGAAGAAGGTACTTTGAGAATTTCCTTCTACGTCATCTTGTGAATCCATATTGCCTGGACAGGTATATGTGAAGAATATGATCCAGGCAAGAACGGATCATCAGAGATTGATTCATCACTTTTTATTGATGTGCTGCTTTTTTCACCTGTGTCTATTATGTGCACAACTAGCTGCTATTCAAATGTGAACTTCTCCTTTTTATTTGCTGTTCAATTGTTTATGAGATTGAATTGTTGCAACGCAAAAGATATACAAGAAAATATGACTCACTCAGTTCTTGGAGTTGCTAGTCCTTATTTCAGCAGATACCATGACTCGAAGCCCATCAGAAGATTATGTACTTTTAGCACATATGAGCATAAACAGAACTGGCAGATACAGGTCATTATGAACTTAAAAGCTGGGTTATATTTTTGGCCCAAGAAATAAAAGTTTCAGCTTCACTAACATTTTGAAAAAATAATCCAGTGTATAGATCTGTTAGCTGTACTTCCAATTCTATTGTGTCACATTGCAGTGTGAAAAGTAAGAGAGTTTATGTAAAATAAAATAAAGTAAAATACATTTTTTTTTGCGGTGCTGGGTATTGAACTCAAGACCTTGCACTTGCCAAGTAGGCACTTAGGCCACTGAACTATCTCTCCAAAACTAAAATACTTTTAAGTGAAATAAAAAGTTAGCCAATTTATCCAACTCAAAAATGTTCTCCTAGATTAAAAAACAATGTATCTATACCTGTTTATTTTTCCAAAGTGATCTATTCTCACTCACATGTACATGTTTGTACACATAGATAGATGATTTTTAAAAATTCTTGTTGCATTATTTGCTAAGCCAAAATGGACTGGAGAGTTGGGGAAGTAGCTCAGAGGCATAAGTGCCTACCTGGCAAGTGCCAAGTCCCAAATTTGGTCTCCATTAACACATGCCATGTAGGCTTTGGAACTGGGAGTGGGGACACATGCCTATAATTCCAGCATTAGTGAGGCTGGGCCAGGAGGATCACTGTGAGTTTGAACTGTGTAATGAGACCATGTATCAAAAAAAAAAAAAAAAAAAAAAACAAGGAAAAATAAACTGAATTGGTATTATTCAAGGTATTTATACTATAAAAATAATGTATGGTTTAATAATTTAAATTTACTAATAGACTATTATTAGGACCATTATAAATTATAAAAAGGACCATTATAATGAGATAAAGTTTTTTTCTTTGAAATAGTTTTTAAAATTTTCCTATGCATTCTTCATCAAATTTGCCTTTTAGCATAATTATAAGCATATTTGTGCTTTGCTTAAGCAATATCTCAGGCCCAGAGTTATTTTGGCAAATAGATTTATGTCTGAGGCCATTGCTTGATGCTGGAAACTGGTGACAAATTGGCTGTTCAACAGTAGAGGACTGGTTGAAGAAATTATGGAATAAGAATAAACAAATTATAGACGGGCATCATTTGGCCTTAGGAGTATATTTTAAAAGGCCAAAAACAACATGAATACACACACAACATCATCACCATCATGACAGGAAGTATGAAAGTATTAAAAATTGGTTACTTAGAGTCAGATGTGTGATGCTGAACTGCAATCCTAGCACTCAGAAAGCTTCCAGAAGGATTACAAGTTTGGGGTCAGCCTGGGCTACCCAATGAGTTCAAGGGCAGGCAGGACTACATGGCAAGATTTTGTTTGAAAACAAAACAAAACACAAACACAAACAAGCAGAGTACCTGTAGTGAGAGGGAGTGAAGAGAACAGTAGGCAAGGATGAGATGAAGTTTATGTGAATGACCCTTCTTGTTTTGAGCTTCTACCATGTGAATACATTATTTGACATAAAAATAAGTTAAAAGGCTTTTTTGTAAACATTGAAAATAATCAAAAACAATGAAACCTACTTACCATGAAAAAAGTCATAATTACACAAAAGATATATTAAAAGATATATATTTATTATCAGTGATTTTGAAAATGAGTATTTTGACTATATGACTTTTTGGGGTATATAACCTAAGGCTCAAAATTTTCTGAATAAATCTATAAACGCATTGGGCTGGGGAAATAGCTCGGCAGTCTAAGTGCCTGCCTGGCAAGCACAAGGACTTGGATTAGATCCCTGGTACTGCATATTGTGAATCCCAGGGGCACCGAGCCAGCCACCAAAATGGGGCGTGGTGGTGCATGGCTATAATCCCAGCACTGGGGAGGCTGGGACAGGAGGATTACTATGGGTCCAAGCAGCGTAGCGAGATCATGCACTAAATAAATAAATAACCAAACAAATAAATGATTTTTGTAAAAAAAGCATTGAATATGTAGTGTTCTTAATAAAATAACTACCGGTATTGGAATCTACTATATATACAATGCCACATTACCCTATATTCTATTAAAGAACAAGTATATGCATTTCTCTGGAGGTCAAGGATTCCAATTTGGAAAGAAAACATATACAAGTATAAAATTAAAGAAACTAAGTAGAAATGCTCCAATTAGAATTAGAAGCATCCTTACGGATATGTAATTTATTTTCTCTTTCTGATGATACAACTCCATCCTTCCATTGGCAAGTCCTAACAGTGGTGATCATCCAACAGCAGAAAGTATACCTACCATTCAGATTTCAATGTCTCAGTATTGTGCCTGAATACAATGAGCCCGTGCTCTTCAGAGAAATCTCTGAATCCAGTCTGGGGCAAGAAATAGATCAAATGAACCTTGGCTATCTCATTCCAGAAACCAAAGATGCCATGAAGGGCTAATGACTCAAATCACAGAAAGAAGAGAGTAAAGTAGCTCCCACTGATCTAAAGTAAGATAATACAAGCATCAATACAGATAATGACTTCAGTATACATAGAAGCAAAGCGTAGAAAAATCCATATAGCATTCACAGCCATATGAAATATGAGATGTTTTCTCATTTCCAGAACAAAATACTTGACATTCGGAACTTAAAAGAGGGGAGGTTTAGATGGCTCACGATTTCCACTGGGTTCAGTTTTGAATGGGGCAAAATGTAATGGTGGAGGAAATCTGTTCACCTTGGGCAGGCAGGAAACAAGAGAAAAGGAGGATGAGGCAGCCAAAAGGGGAGGAGGAAGAAAGGGAGCGAGAGAAGGATGTATTCATCTAAGTTATGTCTCTAATGACACACTTCATCCCACTGGACCCTACATTCAATTAACTCACTGATGACCATAGTACCTTCATAATCCAATGACCTTTCAAAAGTCCCACCTATGAATACATGAGACTTCTGGTGGACATTTTAGAATTAAATCATAACATTCTACCCCAAGACCCTAAAAGACTCATGGCATCTCACTATGCAAAATGCATTTAGTCTTTCTCTAAGTTTTAGCAAATCTTCTCTAAGATTTGTAGCATTGCTGAAAATCCAGTCCAAGGTCTCCTCTGTGATTCATGGCAAATTCTTAGCTGGGAGCACCTGTAAAACTCAAAAAGAGAGTTAAATATTTACTACTAGGGACCTTTTTCATGGTGCCAGTTATCAGAGACTCCTGCGGTCAATTCCAGTCTTCTGTCAGGTTATCCAGCATATGGCCGGAAAAAGGGCAAGAAACAGATGAGATAGAGATGCAGACAGGGATATGGGATGACCAGTTTTTGTTGTGAATAAAAAAAGGCCATGAGATACCCAGACCCTTGGACAACGAAAGAAGGGCAGTATTGGCAACTATGGTGGGCTAGGAAGATGAAAGCTTTCTTGCAAGGAGAAGGAGACAGGAAGCAATGAGGAAACAAGTTTCTCCAAACGCCTATCATTCCCAGCAGGTCTTGTCTTGCCTTGTGAGCAGCATATCAGTCATTAGCTCTAGGGCTTTCAACTGTGACAGGAAATGAGCAGGTGAGCAGGGAGTTGCTGTAATAGAACCTGCCTCAAGATCAGGACAAGAATAAGCATAGATGTCCCCTTGAATTACAACATATAATGGCACATGGTAAACATTCTCAATTCCAAAAGAAAAGAGTGAGAAGTTAGGATTCAGCTCAAAGAAAGAATGAAACTCAACAGTCCAAACATTAAATCTTGTAGCACCCTGTCAAGTACTTAGGGCAGGTTGGGCCAGATGTGAAATCCAAAGGTCTTGGGCAGCCTGCTGTTACGCCCTGACTGGTTGAAACATGTATGGCTTCTTTCTTGGGATGGCTCTACTTGTGGCTTCTTGGCATCTCTAAATTCCAGGGTCTCCATTGCACTTTTTGCTTCACTCCCAGAGCTCACATATCAACCCTCCAGAGACATATTGCCTGACCTCCTAGGTCTTCCTCTGAAATCTGGTGAATGCCTCTGTAACCCTATAACTGTTGCATTCCACATGCCTGAAAAACCACACCATATAGAGGATGCCCTGGTCTGTCACCAACTTGAACAGTAGCCTGGTCCCCTTGAACCATGATTCTAGCAGGCTTTGAGTGCCTGGTGAGTGAATTTGTGGCAGCCCTGGTGCTCTATTATCAAATTCTATTGTTATAGGAATTTATCTTCCCACATGCTTGAGGCAGGAGTTTGGTCTGTTCATTTTCTGAATGCCTTCAACGTATCTATTCTATTGTCCTGATGCGTTTTTTTATTTTGTAAAAAAAAAATATTTATTTATTTATTTATTTATTTATTTATTTGGTACAGATTCTCATTACTCAGCTCAGACTCATAGTGATCTCCTATCTCAGCCACCCCAGTGCTGGGATTGCAGGCATGTACCACGACGCCTGGCTTTGGTGGCCGGCACGGTGGGCCCAGGTTGGGGCCAACAAGTGTGTGGTATCAGGAATTGAACCTGGGGTCTTTGCTTGCCAGACAGACTCTTAGACCGCTGAGCTATCTCCCTGACCGTTGGCTTCTTTTTGATGCTAACTTAGTCAGCAATGACACTCCCTACAGCTCTCATTTTGCAGGCTACTCCTTTTCTGGTGAAATTGCAAACTCTTACATCGTTTGGCACTACTGTCTGTTCTTGATTCTCCCTATAAATCTGGCTAAGATCAACCACCAATGCTCATGACACAGCCTGAACATTACACTTCCTTAAAATTTCCTCTACTGGGACATTTAGTCTGCCGTCTTTAAATTCACCTCATACCAAGTCTTAGGTCAAGGGAAAAACATAAATTCTTTGCCAGAATGAAACACACATGGAATATAGTCCAGGTTCTAATACAGTCTTCATTTCCATGTAAAATCTTATAAGCCTGGCCTTTACGGTCTGCTCTATAATCAACATTCTAGTCTTCTGAGCTCAGGCCACAATTGCTCATCAAGTTTGTCTTATAGCATTCTAGGGCTTCTCCAGTCAATACTTCAAACCTTTCTGTATTCCTTCAAAATAGTTCCGAAGGCTTCGAAACCCCATGGCCAAGTAGAGACACAGCAATTTCTCCCTTATTTCTCTGGTACCAATTTTCTGTACTAGTCACTTCCACATCTGAGACAAGCAACTCTAGTGATACCCCCAAAGTGTTACAGTATAAACTTAGTAAATACTATGGTATCTGGCACTAGTTAGGGAAAATCTACCTGATAACTTTATCCAACACCCACAACATAAAAGAG